ACTGAAGGTCGGAGGCTGCAGTCTACCAAACCTCTCCAACCTACGCTGCTCATCCTCCGGTATAGAAAGAACTACATAGTCCTGAGCAGCTGCAACTCTAGGCTGGATGTGCCCCCGACGTCTGAAGTCCCTGCACGGCCTGCTCAGGTGTGCGAGCGGCAGGAGTCTGATTGCCTCCCCCGGCCTAAGAAGTAGCTGCAGCTGTAGTAGTTGAAACCGCCTGAGCTAGGCCAGTGCAAACTGATAAGATCTGAGCCAAGGCCTCCTAAAGACTCGGAATCACAACAGGCACAGCTGGTGCCCGAGCTGGTGCTGCTGGAGTGTCCATAACTGAGACCTTATCCTGAACTAGGGCAGCTGGTGAATCTTTAGGTGCTTCCCTAGTTGCTCTGCCCCTACCACGACCATGACCACGTCCTTAGCCTCTAGTGGCCACAGCTGGTGGTACTGGTGGTCGTCCATCCTAAACGGTAGCGCGTGTCCTCACCATCTGTGAGAGAATAGAACAACAGAAGTTTAGTACTCGAATCAACAAATTCGCACGACAAGAATTTCAAGAATATGAAGTTTTTCTTAAAGGTTTTGCAGCCTCTCGAGGATAAATACAAACGTCTCTGTACCGATCCGCGAAACTCTACTAAACCTGCTCATGACTCGTGAGACCTATGTAACCTAGGCTCTGATACCAACTTGTCACGACCCTAACCCGGACCCGGTCGTGATGGCACCTCTCCTGAATACAAGACCAGCCGACACTTCCCATTCTCCAATTTATTAACAATTAAGCATTTAGAAACAATCTAAACATGAATAAATAAACCAAAGTTTAAGCAAATGATAGTATAATATACGGAATACAGCCCAATATCGGGGTGTCACTAGTCATAAGCATCTATAAAACCTAATACACGTCTGAAAAGTCTACAAACTATTACAAATGTTTGATAAGAGATAGAAATGATAAAGAGGGAGAAACACGAGACTGCGGACGTCAAACAGCTACCTTGTGGACTCCGATATCTGCCGGGAGCTCTCAACTCGCATTGGCAGGATCCGCAATGCCTGAATCTGCACAGGGGGTATAGGGAGTAAAGTGAGTACTCCAACTCAGTGAGTAACATATGTAAATAAAGACTGAAAGCAAGAAATCACGTAAAACACAAAGCATTCTATAATGAAGCAGTAAAACAAATTAAAAATCAGTGAATCAGTGAAAGATAGGCCAAAATCCTTTATATCAAATGTAATTTCATGAAAAGCCTTTTTCAACAATTAAGAAGGTAATGGACAGTTAATTAAGAAAATAAACACATAAAGGTTCGCCCTTCGGGCACAATATCCACAATTCCGCCCCTTGGGCAACATCTCAGAACAATACCAGCCCCTCGGGCAATCATATAGGATAGTACCAGCCCCTCAGGCTCAATCTCATATCACAATGGGTACTCACGCTCATTGGGGGTGTAAAGACTCCTGGAGGGGCCCCTTACGGCCTAAGCACATTATCAAGCCACCTCGTGGTATCATCACTAGGCCCTCGGCCTTATATCAATCAAGTCACCTCGTGGCGTACATGTCTCAGGCCCTCGGCCTTACTCAATCAAAATCCTCACAAGCCCCTCAGGCAACAGTAAAACAGTGATTCTCAGCCCAATTATCATTTAAAAGATCATTTAAGTATTTAAAACATAGTAAACATGGCTGAGTACGAAACAATGAAATATATCATGACTGAGCTCAAGTATAAAGTCAAAACAGTGAGGAAATATCAATAAAAATCCCCGAAGGGTTCAAATAGTTTGCACAAGGACCAAATATGGCATTCAGCCCAAATCATGATGATAGTAAATAGATTTCAATCAAATACGCGGTAAAATAGTCATTCGGGACAGACTAAGTCACAATCCCCAACGGTTCCCAACCCCACGCTCATCATCAAGCGTGTGTGTCACCTTAATATAGCACAACAATGTACATTCTGGGGTTTCAAACACTCAGAACATCATTTACAATCATTACTCACCTCGAACCGATCAAATCTCTAGCTCGCAACGCCTTTGCCCCTCGAATCGGCCTCCACTCGCGTCGAATCTATCCAAAATCATAACGAGGATGTCAAAATATGCTAAGGGAATAAAACCCAAGCAAAAATAATCAATTTACAACATAAATCCCGAAATTACAAAAACTCGACCCCCGGGCCCACATCTCGGAATTCGATAATTTTTACATCAATAGATTCCTTATCTCCCCACGAATTCATACATATTAAAAGTTCTGAAATCCGACCTCAATTGGTCCTTCAAATCCTCAATCAAAGGTTTAAATTTTCAAGCCCTAGTTCTTCAATTTTTAGCTAAATTGCCATGATTATTTAGGTGGAATTCACATTAGAATCGAGTTTTAAGTCCAAGAATCTTACCTCTAAGGGATTCCCCTTGAATCCCTCTTCAATCCCCTTTAAAAAGCTCCAAAAACGACCAACAGTGGAAGAAATAAACCCCAAAATTGCGGACAAGACGAGTACTTAAACATTCTGTCCAGGCCTAAATTTCCTTCTTCGCGAATGTGGTCAAAGCCTCGTGTTCGCAAAGCACAAAAATTCCATTGACCAAGATTTTTCTTCGCGATAGTGACCACCCAATCACGAACGTGATGCTTTACCCCGACAGACCTTCGCAAACGTGCTCCCTCACCCGCGAATGCGATGAACAAAATATCTCAAAACCCAACAGGACAATTTCTTCTATGCGAATGCGGAGCAGACCTCGCAAACGCGATGCATCATTTCCCAGCGCTTCGCGAATGCAAAGACTCCATCGCAAACGCGAAAGCCAAAGTCTCAGCCTTCTCCAGCTAACCCTTCGCGATCGCGGCTCCCCTCTCACGAACGCGAAGAGCACTTGTCTGCCAAAACTGAGCAACAGATTTCTACAATTCTAAACTTCATGAAATGGTCCGATTGACCACCCGAAACTCACTCGAGACCCCTGGGACCTCAACTAAACACGCCAAAATATCCCATAACCTCATTCAAACTTGTTCTAACCTTCGAAGAGCTCAAAACAACATCGAAACACCAAATTCGCATCGGATTCAAGCCTAAGAATTCCAAAATCTTCTAAATTACGCTTTTGATAAAAAAAAACCAACAAAACCACGTCCGAATAACCTGAAATTTTGCACATACATCCCAAATGACACAATTGAGCTACTTCAGCTCTCGGAATTCCATTCCGACCCCTATTTCAAAATCTCACCTACCAACCAGAAATCGCCAAAATATCAACTTCGCCAATTCAAGCCTAAATCTACTCCAAACCTCCAAAACTCATTTCGATCGTGCTCCTAAGTCCCAAATCACCTCTCGAAGCTAACCGAACCATCGGAACTCACAACCGATCCCTCTAACACATAACTAAATATTCGGTTGACTTTTCCAACTTAAGCTTCCTCAAAAGAGACTAAGTGTCTCAAACCTTACCAAAACCATTCCGGATTCGATCTGACCAACCCGATACCACATAACATGGATAAACAAAGCATAAAAAGCAGAAATAGGGAAAACGGAGTGGTAACTCATGAGACGACTGGCCGGATCGTCACAGGTAAATGATAACTCTTCAATTATTTCACCAAAATAAATAAAAGAAAGAAAGAAAGAAACTTATTGTACCAAGTTTTATTAAATTTCTTTGTGAAAATTAGACAATGCATTTCTAGCTGAAATTGGATGTATAACTTCATTACACATTTTAGTTTCTTCTTTTTTTAAAGAGTAATTTGAATATATGTTTGGCATCATATGTCACATATTTTTTCCAAAAAATTGGCAAACTCTAAAAAAGCTGAACTAATGAAAAAATAACCTCAATAGTTTGATTTGGTTTTTTTGTAACGACTCGGCCGATCGTTTCATGAGTTACCACTTTGTTTCTCTCATTTATGCTCCTTATTGTCTTATTCAGTTGTATCATGTGTTATCGGATTGGTTGGCTCGGGTACGGAAAGGTTTGGTAAGGTTTGAGATACTTAGTCTCTTTTGATTAAGCTTAAGTTGGAAAAGTTAATCGGATGTTGACTTATGTGAAAAAAGGCTTGGATGTGAATTCCAATGGTTCGGATAGCTTCGTGAGGTGATTTCGGACTTAGGAGCGTGATCAAAATGTGTTTTGGAGGTCTAGAGTAGATTTATGCTTGAATTGGCGAAATTGGAATTTTGGCGTTTTTCGGTTGATAGGTGAAATTTTGATATAGGGGTCAGAATGGAATTCCAGAAGTTGGAGTGGGTCCGTTGTGTCATTTGTGATGTGTGTGCAAAATTTCAAGTCATTCGGATAGGGTTTGATGGACTTTTTAATCGAAAGCGGAATTTGGAAGTTTTTGGAATTCTTAGGCTTGAATCCGATGTAAATTTGGTATTTTGATGTTCTTTTGAGTGTTCTGAAGATTAGAACAAGTTTGAATGATGTTATGGGATATGTTGGCATGTTTGGTTGAGGTTCCGAGGGCCTCGGGTAAGTTTCTGGTAGTTAAACGGATCAAATTGCATGTTGAAAAGTTGCAGATTTTTTTCAGGTTTGTTGATGAAATTTTGTTCTTCGCGATCGCGTAGGCTTATCTGGGGGCAGAGGTAGAGTTGTTCTACGTGATCACGTGAGGTAGGTTGCGATCGCGTGGGTCTGTATAGTATAGTTTCGAGATCGCGTGGAGTTTGTTGCGATCGCATAAGGTTAAATGAGGTCTGTCGGCTTGTGTGCATCGCGAGGCATTTTCCGCGATCGCGGTGAAGGAATTTTAAAAGGTGGGTAGAATGTTTAAAAGACCATTTCCACAATTTTGGGTCTAAGTATTGTTGAGCGTTTTGAGGAGGATTGAAGAGGGAATCAAGGGGAAACATTTGGAGGTAAGATTTATGAACTTAATACTCGATTCTAATGTGATTTCTACCTAATTAAACATGGAATTTGTTGAATCTAAAGCCTAAAATTGGAAGTTAGGGCTTGGAAATTGGAGACCTAAATCTAGGGATTTGAGGGGTCATTTTTTGTCGGATTTTGATGTATTTGATATATATGAACTCGTGAGAGAGTAAGGATTCTAGTTTTGTGATTTTTGTCAGAATCCGAGATGTGGGCCCAGGTGTCGGGTTTGGCCAATTTCGAGATTTTCATGTAAATTGATTATTTTTGAGTAGGCTTTGATCCTTTAACATAATTTGATGGTATACATCTATTTTTGGATAAATTTGGAGCATCCGAAGGCCGATTCGAGAAGCAAAGGCATCGCGGGCTAGAGTTTGGACCGGATAGAGGTAAGTAATGATTGTAAATATTGTCTGAGGGTATGAAACCCCGGATTTACATCGTTGCGCTACTTTGAGATGACGCACACGCTAGATGACGAGCGTGGGGTCGTGCACCGTTGGGGAATGTGACTTAGTCCGTCCCGTATGACTGTTTAACCACGTATTTGATTGAAAACTGTTTGTTATCATTGTGTTTTGGAAAGTAATATCCTGTTTTGGGCTGAATGCCATATTTGGGCCTCGTGCCAATTGTTTTGGACCCTTAGAGGATTTTTACTACTATTCCTCACTATTTTGACTTTGTATTTGTACTCAGTCATGCTATATTCTATTGTTTTCATAACTCAGCCATCTCTACTCATTTTTGACAATTTAAATGATATTTTGGGTTGAGCATCATGTTTTACTGTTGCCCGAGTGGCTTGTGAGATTTTTGACTGAGTGAGGTCGAGGGCATGTGTTTTGAGGATACTATAGGATCGGGTTGCGCACCACAATAGTGTTATACTAATTTATGATTATGAGGCTGAGGGCCTGATTTGTTACGTCATGAGGTGGCTTGATATGAGGCCGAGAACCTGTTTGATTATGCCACGAGATGGCTTGTTATAGCGCTTGGGCTGTAAGGAGCCCCTCCTGTACACCCCCAGTGAGTGCGAGTACCTAGTGTGAGATGTGATATAGCCCAAAGGGATGATGTTGTTCCATATTATTGCCCGAGGGGCTAATACGAGTGATTGTGAGATAGCCTAAGGGGCTA